CGAGCTGGAAGGCAACCTGAGATGTCTTTGTCAGCCGCTCGCTAATCCCGGCAGTTGGAGGGGGTTAAGAACTCCCACCCGGTGAAGTTGCAGTTTCTGTCTGCCTCCCCAGTCCTGCCGCCTCCCCACCCCCTCAGCAGCCGATTCAGCTGGTAGCGGGCACTTCCCCCATCATGATGCTTTCTCGGCCTTAGAGACAATGAGCGCTGGCTGAGGAGGCAAGTTTCGCCTAGGTAATCAGGTGTTTTGGGGAGAGAGAGTGGCTGCCTGCCTGACGCTTCTCAAAGCTGTGGATGAGAGTGAATTTGTAGACCCGAGCTGAAGCGTTAATGGCTGTAATTTCCAAATCGTTCATTAAGACCAAAACGCTTAAATCTTCTACAAAGCCTATCTGTTGTACAATTTACACCACAGAGGTTGCATTCATTGCAGCAGTTGCTCTGAATACCCATAAATGTTAGTGAGCTTGGAGTCGCACCCCAGTACGTCTTGTCTTCTCTTTTCTCTTCTATCCTTTTCTTTCCTTTTCTTTTCTTTTCTTTGTATAACACATGAATTTCATTCATTCAAGCTGAAAGGCCCTAATTTGTCAGCCTAGCTGCTGTACAGCTCTGTCTGTGGAGGGTGTGACTGCGGTGATACCTCTCAGAGAGAGGTGTGCGTGCAGCAGTGCTACAAATGACTGGCTCTGGTCTCGGTTGTGCTGGAGGAGAGGAGTTCAGTGACGTTTCGGCAGCCTAGTACTGGTCATGATAGGGGCTTCTTCACAGTTCTTGAAATAAGACGGATAGCACAGAGAACCAAGCTGCTAAGTGAAAAGGTCTGTTTTGCTTATTTTATAAGACACATACGTAGCCTGAACAGAGGTCACTTTTCTTTGGGGGTGTACTTTTTGAGAGAGAGTAAAATGAGATCCTTAATACCTGATGATTTCCATAACATCTTTCCATGTAAGATAATATTCCAAATGTTTCCTCAGCTAGAGTGTATGTTACAAAAGAACACAGAGGTACATTAATGCTGATTCATGTAAATACAGAACCAAGTCTAGAACAGGGAAATTCTGACTAGTTTGACAAAAATGCTTTATTTTCAACTTATTAACATGCAAATATGGTACACTATTTTTTTATACTTTGAAACGTCTGCTAGTCTACTACAATTGAAGTTTTACAGTGTGTTGCCAGTATTTGCATTCTGCTTAGAAATACTTAAATACTGTAAAAGAAAATTAATTATATGAGCCATTCAGTCTTTCAGGTAAAAAAAAAAAAAGTGTGATTGATGCCAGTATTTTTGTATATGTTGTTTTACAGGTGCTACAGATTTGTAGAATGTTTGACATAGTAGTTTCTTGGTGATACATTTCATTAACTCTCTCCTGGAGTGTACATTACAATTTCAGTTTGAAAACAATCTGTATAAAATACAAAGTACTAAGGAAATTCCTAACCTTCCATCTACTAAGCTTATTAGGTACATAGTAGATTATGCCATTTTAGTGTACACTGGAATAAGGAAGTAGCAGTGAAACACACGCTAATCAGACACTACTTCTTGCTGCTGCAATTCGTCTAAACATGAATTATAAACTGTCAAAGTGTAATTTATTTTCAGTCTGAGAGAATGACTTGTATGTGAAGTATAGGAATGATAAAGGATTACACCATGCAAATGACTATTTTGCTTCATTATACGTTAGAAGACTTCTCAGTAGAAGAAAATAAGTTTTTTGCACTTTTACTTGCAACAGTCAAATCGAAAGTACATGTTGTATTGCTCCATTATTTAGCTAGTGTGTTACAAAACCAATTTCTCACTGTTGATAGATTTCCCATGCTAAATATTTACTTTGTTATGAAGATTAGTTTACCTGAGTAGTTTAAAGCAAATATTCTAATGCTTTGTATTTTTTTTTAAATATGTAAAAAGTATTTGCACACTTGTAAAGCACGGATATATAAAGAAAACATCCAAGAAAACAATAGCGGTAGTGTTAAACAACAAACTTTATAGGAGAGACTAGCAAGCACAAAACTTGTTATTGCTTTCTTATGAGTACTTACCAGTTTGTTCCTGAATGACTTTTATATAGTTTTGTTCACGTTTTTGCATAACAGTGGGAACATTAAGGCTTATTTGCATGACCAACATGTAGACTTTCCCCACCTCAGACATTAACAGCAGAGCATTTCTCAGTTTATCAGACAAATGACATGAGGGTTTTTAGTACCCATACCTCATGGAGTTCTTTTTCAGCACATTGTTTAGAGAGACATGAGAAGCAGTTGCAGAGAAAGGCTTCATATGTGGTGTGTCAGACTGTTTCATACTTCAGCTGTGTATGTGAAACAGAACCGGTTGCATATTGGTGTGATCATGATAGGCAGACTAGTTGAAATCTCTAAGGTTGTGTTTATTTACCCCCGTCATTTCCCTTTGTTCTAAGGAGACATTTGAAGATGTATAAAGTTTTAGAACAAATAAGTGGACACAGCAGAACATATCTGTTCTGTTACTGGGGATGAGAGCAATGCTAATTTGCCATTAGTGTAATTAGAATTGGTAATTGATACTTTTGTATGTCTATAAAATAGCAGTCAGCAAGTAGTCTCTACTTACATGACCGACTGGTGTACTCCAGTGAATACAAGTTGTTCTCATTCTGATTATTTGATACTTCCTTTTTAAGGTAATGGATTGAATTTCTTATATAAATTCCCGAATACATTTTCCTTGATACAGTATTGTACAGGAGAACTTCAGTGGAGAAAATCAGGAATGATTTGTAACTCTCCTTGTTATCAGGTGTTTTATATGAAGTTTTAAATTTCTGTATTCAGTAGACTTCTGACATTTCATTGTCACTTTTGAAGATCTTTCACAAGTTTTACCCCTATTCTTGTAACATGGTATTACTTGGAATAATTCTGAATTACTCTGAGCCTCTTATTTTTCAGTAAAACACAAACACTAACATATCTACTTAATAGCAAACAAATTTTTAAATAACTTAGTATTCCATAGGTCTTAATCACTTGCCAAAAGTTAAAGCTGTACAGAAGTGTTTTGCAAAGTGAGGATGAGTTTAAGCAAGTGCTCTTCTGGATCACAGATATAAAATCTGAACCTTCCAGGTGATCTACATTGCCTGTGAGGAGCCTGCATGCTACTAACTTCCAGCAAAACCACCCAAAGATAAGTAAAGCGCAGTGCCTAAGAGGATTCACTTAGCACCTTGAAGGGCTGCATCCTCAATCACAATTCAAATAACAGATTTTAATTGTAAGGAATCGTTTATTTTCTCATATTAGTTACAGATATATCTTTTTAATATATGCTGGTTTTGGTTTTTTTGTTGTTGTTTGGGGATTCTTTTTATGTGGTTTTTTGTGGTTTTTTTTGTGTTGTGGGCTTTTTTTTACTTTTTTCACAGTGTAAAATAGTGGCATACAAACAAGTTCATTTCACCGAATCTTTTAGTAATGAATATGCAATTAGCATGTTAAAAAACTCGATGAACAGACCTTTTAAACCCTGTTTATATGTTTACTTTTTCTGTTGGTCATATTATCTTGATTTTTTACTTGCTTTGTTCGACAAAGAATGATTATTGACTGCTTAAAACACTAGAGTTTTGTTATTGTTGTGGGGTGGTTTTACTTCTTGTTTGTTTGTTTTTTCAAAGAGATAATGTTTACCACTGGTAGAATTAGCACAACCAGTACAGGAACTTCTGAGCAGCATTATTTCTTTGCTTGGGGTATTGGCTTCGTGGTCAATTCAGTAGTCTTTTAGTAATTATCACTATTCCTTTTCTCATTGGAAATGTACTGTTTAGTGAAGAAAAATGTTTATCATATCAAAGTGTGCTGACATACTAGTCAAAACTAGATGCAGTTCCCGTAAAGTCTTATTTCTGTGAAAGTGAAATATGTAGAAATTAATTTTTGAAAAAAATATTTTTACAGTAGCCAGTTAATATTCTTCACAACATTTTAAACATTAATCAGTATGTTGCAATGTGGAAGCATTTTAACTAGTTGGTTATCATGTATGTGGATTGTATCTATAAACTAAATCTGTCAATTTCTTCATAAATATTCATGTATGACTAGCGGCCCTAATAGGACCCAAAGTTCATTCATTAAGGGAGCAATCAGCTTAACCATGCAGGAAAGCATAATCTTTTTTCTTGCTTAGGTACAGACACGTGTGTACACAGAGAGGCTTATCTCAAAGGCTGCTTTTTATAATCACAAGGCAACTCTCAAGAATAAAGTTCTTCACAACTTCCAGCTAAGCAAATGTCTTACAGTATAATAATTATAAAAATAGCAATGTTGTGGTAGCAGTGGTACAATGTAGAAAAAAAAGGAACATTGTCATTAAGTATCAACATTTACATTG